TTCAAAAATGCTTTCTTAATTGCCAATTTTTACCACAATAGTACACTTTTGTATTCTAAATATATATATATATACACACGCCATGTGTTATGTAAATGCTACGCCAAAGTCCTGGGGGACGTAGGACACATCATAAGGATTAAGAATTGCACAGGAACCCAAGCCCGGAAATGTCAGGGGTAAATGATAGCAGAGGTAGAAGATGGGAAAAAAAAACAAGAAAGTGGTTAATTTGAAACATTTAATTGGAAATGAACACAAATGGTGTACGACAGCTTGAATATTACAACAGGTGCTCGAAGGTTCCACCATCAGACGCCAAACATGCCTGACACGCCCGACATGTTCAAACACACCGGAAATTTCTTAGATTGTAGCAGCTGCGTAGGCGAGTCTTGCCACGAGATAGGATCGTGATACACGACACTTTTGATAGCTCCACACAAAAAGAAATCAAGGTTCGATAAATCCGGTGAGCGGGGGGGGGAGGGGGCCAGGCAACCAGTCCATCACGCTCAATCCTTCGATGCAGGAATGATCTGTTCAAATGGCTACAAATATCCATCCCATTAATTGAATACATCATCCCTATTGAATGTGCCCTCATCGGTGAACAACACATAAGCTGGGAAATTAACATCACGTGCACTTTCTTGCAGACACCACTATGCGAAACGCGCACGTTCAGGATGGCCATCGGGGAGCAGTAACTGAATGCTTTGGAGACGAAAAGCGTGGAAGGACTCGACGTTCAAGACCCACTGGACACTGGTACGAGACATTCTTAACTGAGAGGCAATGGCACGTATGCTGGTCCTTGGATTAGTTTCCACCGTATCCAACATACTTTCTTCCCTAACGACCGAGGAGTCGATCGTGATCTACCCTCACTTGCCCTGCTACTACTTAATGAGCCGTAGTCGCACAAATTTTGATGCAGACGTGCAAACAAACTGGGGTGTGGTTGATGTCTATCGGGGAAGCGTTCTCGATAAAGGCGTGTAGCCACTCGTCCTTTATCCTCAGCTATTCCATACACTAAGTGCATGTCTGCAAGCTTTCCATTTGTATGGCGCTCCATGTTCTTCGTATGGTGCTTGCCGTACGCCGCTCTCCTATACAGCACCCCAATAAAAGTTTCAATAAAAAGGGATTAATTATTATTTTTATATTTTTATTAGCTTGTATTTTTTTCTCTTTTGCATTTTCAATTTTACTTTTAGAGTTTGTACTACTATGAATTCTTATTTTAATTTTGATATGTTTGAATATTGTGTTAAACCTCTTATACATGAATGCTAATATTAATACTGTTGAGAACGAACCTTGCTTTGACTCCAAATTACTTTTAACTTTAGAATCTTTAAGACTATGTGTATATATATATACACACATACATGAAGAGAAAAAGAGGCTATCGGAAACTTTTCATTTTTAAGCTGGTAGTACTCCATCCTTTCACCTCTTGCTTACAGAGTTCATATTTGTCCTTTCCAAGCAAACAGAACATTTTTGTTACATTTACAGTTGTGATCATAATTATGGATACATCTTGAAAGTTTTTGTATTTTAAAGCTTTGGATGTTTATGAAAAAATATCATGTTTCATTTAAACAAAAATTTTTCTGCATTAAGTAGACGAGAACTTATTGCAGTATTAGGGATAAAAATAATTCTAATGGCTACTGTATAATAATGTTCTTATGAAAACTCTATGCATGTTTAAATAAGTACAGATATGATTAAGTTAAGCAACCGATTGTAACTGAGGATCCTACCGTTTTCCTTGTATCAATAGTATCTGTGATGGGTCATCTTTCAAACTAAGAAGCTTAGTTTCGGCAGCTTGATTTGTAGAATAGAATAGTTACTGAACAACCTTTCTTGAAGATCATAGACGTAGCTTACGCACAACTGAAAACTAAGCAAATATTGTTAGTCTTTTAACAGATTAAAAATATCGATATTATAACTAGGTCAATGACTTTTGTAAGAATCACTTGTCTGTCTTCTAAAGTGACAACTGAAGTCAGTGTAGAAACTGCACAAGAGAAGGGTTAAAAGCACCCTTTATTAAACTTTTTAAAACTCACAATGCGTCGACTTGACACTAACACACTACGCCTCACTCAGGCTGTGACTGAAATAACAAAAATTAAAATAAAAATTCGAAGATTTTAACAGGTAGTAGAAATTACGCAGCAGGGCTCAGGACACCTGTTACTTAAAACCGCGTCGAAATCTAGCGGCAGCAAAGTAATAGCTATTATGCCACGTAAACCAGCAATAACTGTAGTAATAGAAACTCAAGCTACAGAGGTGACGGCGATTGCCCAAAACTCTCTCACTTCCCTTCTAGAACTTCTAGTATTTAAGCCTTTCCTCCTAAGAGTAGAATTTGCATTACTTAACGCCCGCTACCAAATTTTAATATTCTGGCGTTGACAATTAGGGTAATGAAGGCTTATAGGAAAGAACTTAAACTAAATTTCTTATTTAAAATAAATATAAATTCCTACACTTTTAAAAATAAAACTGAGTGGACAATTAAGAAAACAAGTAGTATGCGAATCTGGCTTTTTCTTTTCTGAAATTAAAATGCATGCAGACTAAATCACGGATATAAAAGTTTGTTTTCGTTGTAGAGATTAAAATCGCTTTAATTGGGAATTTAGAAAGGGGTTCACTTTGGACACCACTATAATATTTGATTTTCAAGGCCAATTTTTAATATTCTCCATAATATTAAATGATCTGGGCTATCCCATGAAACAGACAGAATAAAGTTTTCACATACGATGTTGCTGTTGGGCAGAAGTTTTTAGCTTCCATGAACTTTAAAAAAATTTTAGATAGTCCTTCATTTATCGTTGTCTGTACTTTGAGTTACCTATCAGTCTTAACATAGTTCTTAGTAGTCGTATCGTACAAGTAGCATTTCATAATACAAATTGTGATAAATATTACTGTACATTTGACATTTAAGTGCACTTTTGAACTTTTTCCTCAAGCAAAGTTTAAGATAAATAAAATAACTTAAATTAAAAAACTACGGTTGTAACAGAAAGAAGAAAGTGACTTTGATAATGGTTAAAAATCCCATTTTATTTCCAGTACCTGAAAGAAACTATCTATTGCTTCAAAACTTTTAAATCATGATTCTACTCACAGCGGTTCTCAGAAAACGCTTTAAGATGTAACCTACTAAAATGACCTACATAGGTGTAGAGGAATTGTTTCAGAATGTAACAGTCCCAAAAGGCATTTAAACCTTATGAAAGTTGATCTATGAATCCTAAAATTGAAACCAGTTACTGAAAACTTCTAAATGCGGGTCATCACGAGTTCTTAACTATTTTCGGTCATCATTTTTCTCTTTTCTAACACAATTCAGCTTTTTAACGAGAACATACTGAATCAGTGTGACATTATGAAGTTTCATAAATTATACTAAATGTCTCGCTTTTCATTCGCATTTGGACAATAAGGACAATGGCTTTTAGCTTAATGCTAGGATTATCTAAAAGTATATGTGCATGTGTAAAAATTAGTTGTCTAATTTATTACATCAAAACAGCTCAGTGCTCTTTTAATTTCGGGAAGCGTATTTCACAAAGTGGTTTAAAACAGAATGTAGATTTTGTGCAGAAAAGATCCACCTTTTTAGCTGAACTATTTAGTTGCTTTCTTTGAATAAACGGAAGTAGCCCAGGCTGTCATTTCTAGTAGTTTAGCTTCAAGTGTAACTAAAGAACACTACAAAGAACTGAAAGTCGGAAGTATTCGAATTTTGTACCCTTACCAATCAATGGGATCTGGAAGAAATTTTATTGTTCGGATCAGTTAATGACTGTGTTAAATTTCGATTGATGATAAGAATTCTGTTTAAGCTTCTCTATTTAAAACTGGAATTAGTATACCAGCTGACGCTTAGGATAGTTTGGAATTTTGGGTAATTCAAAGTCTTTTAAAAAACGACATCTCTTCAGTTAGGAAAATCCTTACAGTTATTAAATGGTGTTGCTCGGTGGCTGAATAATTTTAATCAGAAAAAAAGTTGAGAGTTCTCTCTACATTACATTCCCCAGCGTCTGAAAGGGCTGGTTATAGGAGGATTTATTGTTTTTCTCATATGTAATGTAAATACGGCTAGTTTTCTTTAGAAAGACCTCCATGCAGACATCTCAAAGGAAGGTAGACATAGTATGCTTTGCCATAATCAAATAATTCAATCATTTCCTCTAAGATAACATTACTAATTTACATGCTTAGGAAAATTGTTTTCATTATAATGTTAGAGGCTATAGGAATGAGGCATATTGCAAGCTACGCGTAAAACGATCAAATATCTCTTTGAGGACCCTGTATCAATTTATCAACGGTAAGTCCATACTGCTCCTTTTTAAAATACTTACAGAATGTGCAAGGCATAGTATTGATGGCGGAATCAAATTGAACTTGGTTATACTAAAAGAAATTTAGAAATTTTATTTAGAAAAATATTTATTCGTCAATTCTTATGCATAAAACTATAGTATTACTTATCAAGGAAGCATATGAACAAGTATCAATTTTTATTTTTTAAAAAGCAAGTAAAATTGCTGATTATATTACATTCGTGGTTATCTTGCAATAAAGTTTCACACACATGGATAAGGAATAATGTAAAAAAACAAAAAAAAAAAAAAAACTTAAAATTTCTCCAAAAATGACACGTTTTTTACGTTACAATAAAATAACCCAAAACATAACAGATTTTCTTTCTTGCTTTTTGTTTTATTTCATCTCGCATTTTAAGCAAACAAGATTTAGTCACTGCATCTTTTCTTAAAATAAGATAACCCATAATATGAGTCTTTTTAATTATTTAATTTTATGTCATTCACAATAAAATGTTTGTTTTCCGCCTGCCATCTTTATGATTATCAGCTGTGCGTTAATACTGTAATTGTTTCAGCTTTTGAAAATGATTTGTTATAATTATTATTATTTTTCCCTAGTTAAAGCCCTCATCATGGGCGCTAAGGAAGAGTTCTACGATGCTCTGGAGAATCAAGAAGATGCTTTCGACGACCTAAATGAAACTGAAGAACTAAGAAGATGTAGTTTACATGAACTGAGAGAATGGGCGAAAAGTCAACCTCATTTCATCAACTGTAGATTAGGTTTGTAGAGAGTAATTCTTATTATTTGCACTTGTCATGACATTTCGCGAGGAACACAAAACTGCGTGTGTTTAAAATTTATTACTTTAATTTCCATTTTCAAAATTTTGCTTTCGAATTTTTAACATTCAGGAGAATACATTAAAATAAAAGAATTAAAGAATATATATGACATTTTTAATAGACAGAAAGGTTTCTAGATGAAGTATTAAATAGCATAAATATCAGAAAGTAAATCACGCAATAATACTCGTAATACACTGAAGCGAGAAAACATTATTATGACCACCTACTCAATAGCGCGCTGCGCGAACTTTGCGTTTTACTGCTGGAAATTACATTTCCATTTGGGAAGACAGACATCATATAAAGGTGCAAATGATCTGTAATTATGTTCAGCTAGTCTGCAGTTTTTATGGTCTGTTCTACCACAACTAAGGGTTCCAGAGCCGCCCACGCGAACGTCCCCCTATAACATAGTACCACCACCAGCAGCCTGTGTATGACCTGCTGTATAGAGAGAGAGCAATTGTTCGCCTGGAGAACGGCTTTCTCTGACACGATCATCGGCGTGATGAACGAGATGTTATTCATTCGACTAGGGAACTGTTTTCTACTTACCCATGGAACAGTGTCCATGTTTCCGGACCCACTGTAGACGTAGCTGACAATGACGTTTGGTCAACAGAGGCACATGAGCAGGGCGTCTGCCGCGCACTCCCATATTCAGCAGTGTCCGCTGAACTGTGTGTTCCGAAACACTTGCTCTTGGACCTGCATTGTATTCGACTGTCAGCTGAGTCGCTGCCTGGTGCCGATTTTGCTGTACCAAGAGGAACAGTCGTCGATGTCCTTTTTCTTGGATGAAGCGTGGACGTCCAACACTTTGGCGTCTACCGCTGATTTAACTGTCATTTATCCACTTTGCATAAACATTAACAACGGAAAATAGTGAGCAACTTACCAGTCGTGCAGTCGGAGTCTTCGAACCATTACAATCTTCCCTGTATCAAATTCGCTTAGATCAGCAGCCTTTCCCTTCACTCTTAAAAGTGAGTGCAAGAATGGTTCCTCACCTTCTCCAATAGCAGTTAAATACCATTCTCACTTAGTCATGTGCCCTCCACATTGTCCAGACAAGTTCATTGAAAAATGTGGAGATGTTCATAATGTTTTAGCTCTTTAGTGTATATACCCGTTTGTAGAAAGAATTATTTTCTGTATGTTAAGTATAAAGTCTTCCCCTTACTAAAGCATTTTTCACAGAATGAAAATGAACTTCCAAAATTTTATGGACTATATTCATACGTTTAAATCTGAGGAAAAAAGTGGCTGACATTTAGTTTTGATACATCTTTATTTTTTTAGTTTTAGGCGCAATGAATTAAACAACTGTATTGTAATGCGCTGTATAATTTTGTGGGAAATGGACTACTTATTTGTTAAAGTTAACAAAAGATAATTTTTTGAAATTTCATTGTGTAATGATAAATTCAATTTGTTATGTGTTAAGCGGTTTTGGTAATTGTTGAACACTTTAACGTTGAACGTTTGAACAAAGAAATATCGTAACTATGGCAATTAACTACGCTTCGTCAGAGTTATTGACATTTAAACGTAGTCAACAGTGTTACATTTTAAATTTATTTAAAAAAAGATTTATACTAAAATTTTTTAATTTTCATGTAGATAACAACTTTTTATTACGATTTCTACGTATGCGGAAATATAGAGTGGATTTGGCCCAACAAGTTTTGGACAAGTATCTGACGGTGAAGACAAAATACCCTGTCACATACCAGAAGCTAGATATACAAAATCCTGGTATAAGGGACCTTATATCCAGAGGGTAAGTACATCGTTTTCAAAACTCAGCAATAAATTATTAATTTAGAAGAAGACTCAGATACTATGCATAACTCATTTAGAATATCGGTGGTAATTAAATTTAGCTGCTTTACCGTTTGCAAAAATCTTACTATCGCCATTTTGCGCGCAGTTTGGTCTTATGAGAATTTAGGTAAGTTAAATTTAATTCACCGTTTAGTACTTTAAAACTGTTTTTGCCTTCGTATTCAAATAGGGCGAACATTTAGAATATGGTGTAATTTAAGTACTTGGATTTAGCTATTGGATAATACACTTTTTATGCATTTAGTAAGAAAAATATTTATTCTTAACTTTCTTTACTGTTTAGTGTGTCATAATGATAAACCATAGTGATCATAATGAAACATAATGAAAATAACGTTTCTAAATCATTGAATCTGAACTAAATAATTAATTTGAACCAAGAAATATTGTGCTTACCATTACTATAATTATTTACCAAATTTATAGAGATACGTGATTTGCAGATGAATTATTTGAATTTAAAGGTATAGCGACTCAATTCAAAAATAATTGCTTCTATATAATATAGTAGAGCACTAATGAGTGGTGAAATTAGAATTATAAATTTAGTTTACATCACTTTTGATTTATATTTAAGTCAAGACGATACCACACTTTTGATCCTTTTTTCAGGTATGTATTTCCCCTGCCACAAAGAGACAAGCATGGCAGAACAGTTTTATTTTGCATAGCAGGTGAGTTTAATTTGTATTCATATTTTTACTTTTATTACTTCAAGTATATTTAAACTTAATTTTAGATCATAAAGCAAATTTAAATGCTAATTGTACCTTACTTCTGATGCAAACATTCTTCCAGTATCGGCTTATCGCAATAACCGATATCACTTCCACAAGATACTAATAATATAAAGCAAGTCTAATAAATTTATTTCTGTTAGGTATGAAGGTTAAAATTTATCACCAGTCTATGAAATGTACGTATATCTCGAATTATTATGAGTTTGAATTCAGACCACAGTATAATAAGACGCACGAACAATTTTATTATCCTATTCCACACGAAAGCCGTATTTATATATATGCTGTAGTTAATGTAATCAATAATTAGTTTAAGCAGTTTAATAGCATTAAATTTATAAAACATTGTTACGATATCTTAATTAAAAAACTTTTATTACTTGAAATTGCTAATCAGTATATGAGACATCAGAAAGTTATAGTATTTCTCTTAATCAGGAATTTTGTTTTGGTGCTCATCCATGCTGACTGATCAGGAGAATAGGTACCACTTCCGAAAAGACTGAATATTTTTAGCAGCAATTCTTGTTACGAATGCAAATTCATAACAAGAATTCTTCCCTATGAATTTGCATTCATAAAAGTGGTATTCCTTTCCGCCCTATTGTATCAAATTTAGGCACTGCTTCGTACCCGTTAGCTAAATATTTAGTTTCTACATTTTCAACTGTATTAGGTAATAAATAACATTTACACCATAAAAAATTGAACAGAGTTTGTAAAAAAAAGTTAAAAGCATCATTATTCATCAATGCTATTCACCAATATTCCAGTGAAGGGTGCACTAATATGCCTAAAAACCAGATTTCATGAATTTCATTTCTGTTGCATCGAAATTGATGGGCTAATTTCCCTCACTCAACTTTGTTTGAAACAAACGCACTTTGTTTTCAAAACTAAGTATTACAAGCAAACCGAGTTATTAGCTATAGGAAGCCCCCTTAGTCCCATCCTGGCTCATATCTACATGCATTATTATGAATCAAAATTTTTTGAAACTTTAAACTTCCCGGTATGGTTCCGCTACGCAGACGATACTTTTACCCTGTTTGACGGTAATAAAGATGATTTAAATAAAGTTCTTTCAACAATGAATTACATTTATCCTGCTATTCAGTTCCCTTTTGAACTTGAGACATGCAATTCTCTTCCATTCTTCGACAATTTGGTCACACATAACACATGCAACTTCAGTACTACACTACGGTTTACCGTAAGCATTTATCGGTTTGCCTTCCACCACACTTCAAATCATGTCATCCGACTAAACAAAAGTTAGCTTCATTTTATTCCTATGTTTTCCGTGCACTTCAAGTTTGCTCCAGAAAACTGGCTCTGAATCAAGAACTAAATTATTTAAAAGCAGTAGCTATTGACAGGGGCTTTTCACCCAACATTATTAATCAAGCAATTAAAAATTCTCATCTCAGCACACCAAAGGGCACAGAATTCTGTATAAGAATTCTGTTGCCATTCCTTTCTTTCCATCTATTAGCTATAAAATTACACGTATTTTACAAAAATTAAACTTTCGGGCCGATTATTCTCCTATCAATAAAATTCCGAATTCCACACTCAAAGACCCATTCCGAATATGAATTCCTGGGGTATATACAGGATTCCTTGCCAGTGTGGTTTCATTTACATTGGTCAAACTCAGGAACCCTTAAAATTTCGCGTTAAGGAACATGAGCCATATGTTAGAAAAAAGGAAACACAGAAGTCATCTGTTCCCTAGCATTGTTGGTCCAAAAATCACACTTTCAATTTTTCTGCAGCCAAAATTATTAAAAAAAATACAACTACCATTGGTGAATTAAATTTTCTAGAGGCATTTCACATTCAAAAAATATTTCTGTTCTAGTTAACGATCCTAATTCCAATCTAGCTTCGCCTTCAGCTTTTATGGAAATTATATTTTGATTCTAGTTTCATCAATAGATGGCGCCAATAGCTTAACTCCTGTCCAGCCATTCTTATCTTATCTTATCTAATCACTGTATCTTATCTCATTCATTTAGGCTTTGGCAGCTGAAGTTGATGTTTCAGTAAAACCATCGAAACTAGTCCTGTGAAAATTTGTAAATATAACGCTGATTTTTGTTGTTTGACTTCCAAATTAATTCGCATTTATCTATCTTTTTTATCAAGGCTTTCTCTGTAACATGTTATATCATTTCATAACATTTTGCTGTCACAGTAGTCTTTAGGGGCAGTGGGAGGCAAACTGGTGTGAATCTTCTCAAACCTTACTGGTTTATAAACTAAATATGTGATATAACATTGTAATTGCACATCAACTGGCTAAAGCTTGAAATTTTATTCCATACTTCAGTATTACATTATTTTAAGCCTTCCTTCTATGCATTTCGATATCATATTACTGAAGTCTTTATTTACTTGTTAAATATTACAAGAATAAACCATTTATACACATATTAAACAAACAAAATTTACAGAAATGTTGTAAAACTCTAAAACATAAGTAGATCAAGAGACAGGCAATTTAGATTATGAAATATGTATGAACAGTATTAATGGTTACTTGACTACATCAATACTAAATATTACAATACTCACTGATCACTCAAGGGTCATTGTACGGGTATCGGTTAGCCTAATTTATGTATAATAAAAACTAAAATTTTAAAACTTTGAGAGCATTACGAAAATGGGACAGAAAGACTCAGAAATGGCCGAATGGATAAGAACGCTCTGAACAGAATGTGCTATATACATTCAGTTCATTAAAATAGTGCAGTAACTACAAAGTGTGTCATAATAAATCGAGATATGCATGAGCAAAATTTGTAATAACTAATAATGATAAGTAAATAGAATTTACAGCTCAAGTGTTATTAATTTCAAATGCTGTTAATTAATGCTATAGCGCTATTAATTAATACTGTAGGCAAGTGTTGTTAATTAATACTATAATCAGCTGATTTTCAAACTTCTCTAAAGTGCCAAGAAAAAACTGAAAATATCAGCTTACGTTTTTTACTAGAGAAAATATGCAGCCAGGTTTGTAATCTATGCTTTAATTTTGATTTGAAAGCTTTTTCCTAGTGCTGATGATGCGACAGAATCCAAGCAAAGAGATATTTAATCATTTCTTTAAATCTCGACGTACTGATAAAATGCGATCAATACATCAGCTGGATATCTTTGTTATTCTTGCCTTTCTTAAATTTTAATATTTCAGTTGTTAATTCCTTTGTATTTTTATGTTACAAACATAATAATGTACTCTAACTTAGTAGTTATGTCTATTATTGTATAATTCACAAAATAAAATTAACTTTAGTACTATAATCTGATTTTGTATATGGATTGTTACAAATGCTATCAGGTTAAGCTTTTCAGACCATAACGAATGAAATGATCTAATATACAATATATTCTAAGAGTCTCTTCCTTCAAAAATAAAAAGAAAAATGTGCTGAGAGATTTTCATGTGCTCTTGCAGGTGCTCTTGATGCAACAAAGCACAAACAATCGGATGTTTTTAAGTCTTTTCTTTTGACTTTTGAAGCGCTAATGGAATGTGAATTGAATCAGAAGCGAGGCATTACTTACATCTTCACACAAGAAGGGTATCAAATAAGCCACGCTCTTTTGGTAGGCCTAAGAGACCTACAGAGGATGGTACACAGTGGAGAGGTACTATTTTGTATTCAATAATATTCGGAGTTATGGAAGTTAGCATGTTAAGTTATATAAATTATAGAAGTTAGCATGTAAATTAATTACAAAATTTCAATTTGTCTTCAGAGCCTATTTTATCATTTTTATCAAACACGTGGAAATTTTTGCTTCAAATCTACATTTTGTCGTTCCTTTTTGTTAAATGATTAGTGAATAAGTAACTAATGAGAATATTGAATAAATTTCTTAAATATTTATAGTATACATGTAAAATTATCTTCATATTTTTAGTCCTGAAGTATTGCATTTCAGTTTCTAAATCATTATTTATACTTAGTTTAATTTATGTATTAAATTTATATAAAAGCATTATTCTTCAGTATTAAAGTTTTCATTAAGTAACTCTGCTTTTTTAGATGCATCAAGCATTTTCTTTGAATTAATCAAGTATCAAAAAGAACTTTTTATGATTTATGTGTTTTAATTTAAACCAATTATTCATCTAAAATAACCTTTATATGAAGTATTTTGTATTAAACAAATGTTTCAATTTTCTTCTTGTTTTGTAGAAAGCAGTTCCATTAAGGCATAAACTTCTACATTGGATGAATGTGCCAAAGTATTTAGCAACATTATTTTTGTTGCTGAAAACATTTTTAAGCCAAAAACTTCAAGATCGCGTAAGTATTAAACGATCAAATTCGTTAAAATCTAGCCTCATTATGATTTTGAAAAGTTGCTGAAATACTGTGCACTGAAAGTGATGGTTGCAAAACTTGGTCAAAGCTGAATATGTAAAACTTCTGGTGTGTATTGGTGTATCGTGAATACGGCAAAGCACACTAGGGCTATCTGCCTAAGGGGATGGATGCCTTCGTGGAGGACTTTCTTAGGGAAACTGGCTCGTATACACGTTACACATGGGGAAAACTACGGAAACGCCCATACAGCCCGCCCGTTCGCAGGATTCGAACCTAACTACTAGTGTTCAGCGATTTTACCACTTGGCCGCTGGTGGGCTCATATAAAACTTCTGAAATTCTGATAAATTGTTGTTTTGATATTTGTTACAGATAATATTTAACTAGTAAAAAAACAAATCTCAAATGTAACACTCTTCATTGTAACAGAACGTTATTTAAAACTGTGTTCTAAAACATGTTTTATTTTTTCTGCAAATAATGAAACCTATTTATGACCGTAAGATTTCATATAAAATACTATTTAAATAGCAGAAAATATTTAAAAACTTTTTATTTCCCTAAGTAATAATTTATGCATATTATGATTATTATCATATGTAATGTTCTTATCATAAATAATAATTTAAATAGAATAAAATAACTTAGGAAAATTCGTTAGATATCTCTTAAGCTGAAATTAAGTTCTACTGACCTTAGTAGACAAATCAGAGAGTTGTCGCAGCCTCTGAAATATTATGACAAAGTCCTCGCAAGGTTTAAGAAAGCAATAACAGACAATTCATTTCGAACGCTGATAACGAAGTCTAAGATTAACAGTCACCAAAGTAAGCTGTAAGCTGGTTCACTTAATTTTACCGGGGCGTAAGCTTAAAGTATCGGCTAGCGAGAGAATGCAAAAGCCGGAATAATCCCTTTTAGATACAGCTGACAAAATGCTATCAGCGAGGAGAGAGTGCCAGGAACTCTCTCTCTCTAAGATACAAAACCCTTAGCTTATATATTCTGAAAGCCAGTTTGCATTCTGGTGAAGAATAAGGAAAGAAGAAATTAGAGAACAAAACCATAATAGCTGGTTAATCAATTAACAAAAGAACTTTACACATTTAAAATCCTTTTCTACCTTGTGAAAAAATTCTGCCTCTTCTCTAACAAAGATGCTGCTTTTATTTTCTGATTAATTTCATTAATAAAATAAGATTACATTCAAAGAGTAATAAATATGTAACGAAATCATTACATATTAGGAAGATTTGAGAATACAAACACTCTGATATAAGTATTTTATAGGACTGCAGCTACAGGAAAACTAGTTTCAGCTTCTGTTCTAAATGATGATAGTGTTAAAATTTTATATACTGTAATTAGTTAATACTGTTATCCCGAGCACTCAGACTGCAGTCCGGGATGCATTACTAAAAGGCAAACATGTCGTTCGTTATGAAATACCACCATCATCCATGAATGTAGTTTGGAACTATTCGCATTCGAGAGAAAAAAGACGCGCGTCTTTCGGTTAGAGATAAAACCAATTAAGAAATATTCGAAACAGTTAGTTGACTCTATGTAGGCGATAGCAGCTTAAATTTAAAAGTGAATAAGGCTTAGAGTCATTAGATTATTTTGAAGCAAAAGACATGGAAAATGAGCAATGCTCTTACCGTGACTCGAACCTGGACCTCTCGAATACGTACCGAGTGTGCAACTCTTACACCATGAAGGCGTGCTGGAACGAGAAAATACCTTATATACTGCCCCTTTTAAAGGGCGACTGGGTATTTAGGGCACCCAGTCGCCATATCCTGGTGGTGACGGATTATTGATCACCACCTTTTAGTTCGGGCACCACTGTAGTGTCATTAGGTTATTTTGAAGCAGGAGACATGAAAAAAAAATGAGCAATGCACTCGCCGGGACTCGAACCTGGACGTCTCGAATACGTGCCGAGTGTGCTACTGTTATACCACGAAGGCATACTAGAAAGAGAAAATAATCTTATGAGGTAAAAACAAAAACTGGTAATTTCGTTCCAAATTTGATCCTTACCGGCATGGGTTGCTTGTATGAGAGTTTCAGGATTTTCCAAATCCGAAATATAATTAGTTCTCTACAGATAAAACCGCAACATGTTTCATAACTCAGATGACGTCCGTATGCTTTCAAAATAAATTATTCATTTTTCTGTTCGTTTCCTTTATTATTCTCCCCCCCCAGAATTAATTATTCAAAAGAAAGTTATATACAGGTTAAAAAAAGAATATTTGATATATATTAGAAGTCGGGGAAATGCAGTATCTATTTTAATGAAACAAAACCCACACTTAAGTGATTGGTTGTATATTTACGTTTTCAGAAAAAAATTCTGAACAGGCCCATTGTTTCTGATTTCAAAGCTATCCAACTACAGACCCAAATAACTCAGAAACACGAGGGGATACATTGCTTATTATGCCTCAGAATAAACCCAGGCTTGTTTAAAAAGAGCTCCGAATTATTTATTTGCATTTTTGACTCGATATAAGAGTAAAGTAGCTCAAGTTACGTGTGCAGTACATCTTTAAAGATGGACCTTTGGCCAACAGGGATCTGGATCGGATATTTTAGCAAAGCACTCGAGAGATGGCTTCGTGGAGGATTATCAAAGGGAAATGTCTCTTATTTATGTTTCGAAATGTGGAAAACCGCAATAACTCCCATACAGCTTGCCCATTCACCAGGATTTACCCTTTCGGCCAACAAGAATTGCTGCCTGAGTTATACAGGGTACTCATCAAGACAGCGTATGCTCTAGAAGATGAAGATTTCTTGCCCTAAATGCATAAACAGTGCTCAAGTACCTTAACTCTTTGACCCTTTGCCTTCGAGGATAGAGCGAAGGAAAAAAATATAATGTCACGGTCCGCTTATAGAAAATAAGATGTACTGCAGGTTTAAAATTGCATAACGGTTGAAAATATCATAAACAACAATTTACCCAACACTCTGTTTGCAAAAAGCAAAATTTGCATAATAAGCGACTGACAATATGGGCAAATATGTTGTACTTCCATCGGTTTTCTCATGTGTTCATCTTGTGTTGTCTCATGCGTGCTCTTGTATTGTAAGTACTTAACCATCCAGCTTAACATTTCGAAGATATGTACTTCGAAATCCCAGTAAAAACACAACTGATTTCTCATGCTTCCTGGTCCGAAATCCTTACTAGTCTTTTTAACAGTACCCGAGTTAATATGTAGTAGGTGATGTCTCGTCATCACCTATATTTTATCTACTGTATCTCGCGTATCTCTTTGTTGTCCCATTAAGTGGCGAGAATTTTCTATTTTCCCATGCATGTTCTCCTGGTGTAAATGGTTAGCACACCCAGCTAACTAATGGAAGATAGACGGTTTAAATACTGGCAAGGACACGATTGATTTTTCAGGTTTTTTGCTCTTGAAAGCCTAATGGCCTCTACAGTGTAAATGAACAGCCTTCGTGGGCTCATTGGAAAAAAATGAAGGCGTCAAAATGCATAATAATTTCGCAAATTCAATGGTCTGACTGATATAAAATGAAAAAATTCTAAAACGTAATTTCAGTTAATGGAGACTGATTTGTAACTGAATGAGCATATTTACAAACACATTTGGAAACACTACGAAGAATTTGAATATTATAGCATCACTTCTTTCACAAAATACTATACATAGTGAGTTTTAACTTCTAAGCAAGGATTTCACCCAATATTCAGGAAAGCTACTGAAAATGACCAGTATTATAAGCAGTTGTTAGAATGAAAATCTGTAGTCAAAGGCCACCATTTCTACATGATTCACCATCATAATCAGTAACTACAAATTCAAACTATAAATTTTGGCGCACATCGTATAATTACTGAATTTGAAAATAGAACCTATGCTAATGAAATGGCCGAAGTCGAGCATTTTGAAAATATTGAATAAAAGCCTCCATGTATTCTGTAACTAAAATTGATATGATTAATAACATTTGATGTTTTCAGACGGACTATATTTTACTGCCCATAATGTTGTAAGGTTTGTAATAAGTTTCCACCAGTTAACTTTTACCTAAAGCGACTTTCCTGTCCTTTCTAAATTTCAGCTTACAATTTCCTGCCAGAATGTGTTTTCAGAATCGTGGTTAAACGCAAATGAAAGAAGTGCAAGTATTTAAAGTTGAAGTTCTACTAACTTCGTTAGAGAGCCAGTGATTCTGAGCAAGGCGTGTTCGCCTTTTGTCTATACTCGCTCTTAAACTTTTTTTACGTTCGGCCGTATTTTAGGACATTAATAGCTTCGCAGTTTAGTTAGCTTTAAGGGGCCAACTCTTGTAGAATCTTGATACCTTCGACTATACCTCTTTAGTTAATTTTAGTTAAGTTTTATTCTTAGTATTCCTGAGTTCAAGCCCAAGTGGAGGTTTTGCTGTAAACTCCAAGAAAGAGTCAACTATTAAATTCATTTTGAATAATAAAGGGTAATTAACCTTTCATACATTTACGTTTCTATCTTTCTGAATTAAGCGATTATTCTCTTACCAGTTCTTAAGGTTCCACACATTTAGCTGTAAGTTATAGATTGAAACATTACAATGTTATTAGTAACAATTAGCAATAATTTGACTAGGTCTAATGCACTCTTTGGTATACACATATATTTCCGTTGTTTGACATCAGTGTAATAGATTAAAACAATAGTACTAAAGTGATCGTTTTAGACTAAAATATATCTGCATAAGCTACTTAAAAATATTTGTGATTCAGTTTAAAAAGTGAGTGTCAATTTTATGTTAAAAGTATGTGTAAATTTTATACATAAAAGTTCCATCAAATCTTCGTTGATTCCCCAGGCACTGCGACCTTTTGAGCAACGCATTTAAAATTATCTAAAATATTTGATCACTTCTCATGAGCTGATCCAGGCTATCATAAAAACCGACAAGGATTCATACTGATACTCCCTGCTGATTGGTAATTCCAGAGTCCCAAGACCATTCAAGCAGGACACCAATACACTTCCATTTAGCAGACATTCTTTGATAACGGGCAAAAACTTTGTTCTGCGGACATCCCCCTAAAAAGATGTTGAACTGTAATAAAATCTGACGCAATTTGCTTGCCTCCTTTAACTGCAATTTTTTTATGCAGTCTACTTACAGTAAATCTTTATTTTTTATTATTAGCGTTAATGCAATAAACATTATACATTTATTCACATAAAGCATGCTTTTGCTTTAATCAGTAAATTAATAATTTATATAACCATCTGAATTATTAATCATTTAAAAACATGAAACTGTACCGTTTCCAAATTTCACGTTCATTATAATTGCATTTATTTCGCTCAGATATAACATTTAAAAATCATTTTTAATCAAATGCAAAGCAACATTTTTAATTTAACTTTCAAATCAAAGCGAGATTTTACTAATTTTTAGGGCCATTGAATTAACGCTCTTAGAGTTATTATCATGAATGCGACCTGACCAGTTTCCTCAGCATGGGTTAAGGTTTTACAAATCGGAAGCTAAAATGTTAATGATATTTCTTAAACTTCTAAGATATCCAGTAAAGAGCAAATTTTCAGAATTACCTTTCGACAAGCCACGAAAAATTAATTACTCTTCAGAGTTACTACAGAAATTTTAAAGCAATAAACTAACTTCTTAATACACAGGTATCTATTCAAAATGCAACACCATGATAAAAGCATCCAACAGACTTGAAATTGGCACACTTCGCTGATCTCGATATATCATACATTGGCACTGCAACGCTTATGCAGATTATGTGCTCTAATAATTCCATCTGGAATTAGTATGAAAAGGGAGCACAGTAGAACGTTTTAGTGTGTGTCGTTTCTGCGCTTGGGAAAGTTCGATATATCTAGTCGAAAAAATAATCAGAGTCATTCGAGTAAGCCTCTGAGTTTGGCAGAAAAAGAATTGCTACCTATAGAGGTGCGGATTATCTATCCTTCGAGAAATTAGTGCTTGTGCTGAACAAATTGAAGCCACAGAGACACGAATATGGTATCGGTAGATACTACATTCATGTCACTGTGTCTGTCCGCAGAAGGGACGGAATGACCGAGAAAACTAATTGTACCAGCCTTCACACCACCAAAAGAGAAGATAGGCATGTTGTGCATATGATAGTAACGGATAGCACAACAGCAGCAAGGACTTAATCTGTTGCTTAATATGTGCTAGCACGTACCATTCGACGTTGCCCGCAGAGGACAAGAGTCTTTGCAAAGCGTTCATTGCTGTCTTTACTGTTGATTCTACACCACAAGTGTATGTGGCTGTAATGTAGCATTGAAAATGTACATTACAGCAGATTCTGAAATGTAGCCGATGCTGAAAAGAATTGGAATGGCACTGTATTTTCAGACAGATGTCAACTCTGCTTATGATGATGGTCGTATTCGAGCCTGGATTCACCGCAGCGACAAATATCATGACCCTCGCACTGTGCATCGTCATATCGGTTCGTCACCTGGAATAATAGTTCGGAGTGCTAATGGGTTTTATTTTCGTTACCGCCTAATACCCATTACCGACACTAAACAGCCATTGCTACATTCTGAAGCTACGGAGACGTTTGCACTCCCTTACTGACGCCATGATCGGTATAATGGTTTGCGATTTCTGGACTCGGACTCAAGTCCCGGTAAAGATTTGGATGTTTGTATAAGCGTAGCATCTTTGCGGTAGAGAGCATGTAAAATAATTGCAACCGAAAGTCCTCTCGTGTGGTTTTGATTGTTAGGGAAGAAGTGTGAGGGACCATCGGATCCATCCTTCGGCATGTTCTCCTTCAAAATTAAGGCAGAGTTGCATAATTAGTGTAGCGGGATGTACCTGTACGACAAACGACGAAATTCTGGCGGTCCGGTGGCTCGCCCACTTCTACCTGTACCTGTCATTTACTTTTAAGGCTTACTTACAACAATGTTTCAATAAAACACTATGCGTCCACACATGTCAGGCAACGTTCAACAGCTCTTCGTTGCTCACCAGATCGCCTCATCAGTTTGTCTGTTCTCCCAGTATGTTACTCGACGAACACAGCCAGTTGATGATTGTCAAACGAGTGTCTCACTATATACCATTTGCGGCTATGCTGTAAAATTTGGCAAGGTATGGAAAAAGCCTGAACTGATGTACTCGAAGCGCGTATCCAAAGTTTCTTTCTTCGAATGCCGAGACGTGTCGCAGCAGTTATTGCCAGTCATAGCAGATAATCAAAATACTAATTTCTTCGTGGTCCGAACGAGGTCGTGATTTTATTAATTCCCCCTTATGCCTATTATTTTTCCTGTAATGACAGCTTTAACATCTTTTATTCTTCGTCGCGTTGCATTCTGAATTATCAGAAGTTAGTATATTCTTTTCAGTTTTTTAATATTTTAGTTTGTTAACTTGTAGGGATTCATTTAATTCACTTAACAGTTATTTTATTTTGAAGTAACCTTTCTTATCGCTCTTGCTTTTAATTCACACTTTCTTGTAAGAATGCAAATTATCTAGAGCGCCGTATTCAAATGAGATAGAAACAAGTTGGTATTTAAGAGAAGGTACTGGAAGATGAAATCAGAGCGTGTTCCGCCTGCCTGAAGATCTTGCTATCTTGCTTTCTCTAGCGATTATCCATAAGCCTTGCTGACGCCGATTTTCAAATCAGATCCAGCCTGGGCGGTAATTAATCTGTGAAGCCATTAGGCTACCTTAATTTCATTTAATTTTAAGCTGTTCCTTACCTTTGGAGCTAAGCCAAAGATTTTAGTTTCTTTAAACACGAGTTGAGGCCATCTGTGAATTTTATTTGAGTTAATTAAAGGGTTCTTTACATCCTTTATAAGGTATTTCTCCCACTTTCCTAACTTGTCTTCTTGGTGTAACGGTAGCACGCTGGGCCGGTATTCCAGAGGTCCGTGGTTCGATTCCCGGCGAAGGCGGTTGCTAATTTTTCATCTTCCTTGCTTCCAAAAAAAATCCTAATGACTTTACAAGTGGCACCCGAAATAAAAGGGTTGTGGATGATGATTCTCTGCACCCAGGATTTGGCGACTAGGTCCCCTAAAACCCTAGTCGCCCTTTAAAAAGGGGAGTATATAAGGTATTTCTCCCACTACACTAGCGTGCCTTCTTGGTGTAACGGTAGTACGCTGGGCCGGTATTCCAGAGGTCCGTGGTTCGATTCCCGGCGAAAGCGGTGTCTAATTTTTCCTCTTCCTTGCTTCCAAAAATATCCTAATGACTCTACACCTTCTCCTGACTTTGTCATACTTTAAGACTTAGGTATAATTCCCTAAACCGTCTTCTAACGTCTAGTTGAGTTTAGGATTGTAAAACACCCCAGACGTTATAAATTACATGAATGAGTTATAACTTTTAACACATTTAATTTATTTTATTTATTATGTATCCAACTGATTGATATGATTTATAAAATAAAAAATCTAATAATTTTTACACCTCTATTTTAACTTGTAAAAGATGTTTCTGGTGCTATACTATATAATCTCGGTACTAAACAAAAGATACTTATTTGAGTTTGGTTTTTCTTTTTTTCTTTAAATTGTTGTATAAATGTTAAGCTTGCTAATTAAAGTTTTGTTGCAAGAAATGTAATTTAAGTAAAGAAACCTTTCTCATACTGAACGTCAATATATGTTTTGATGGTTTACTATATGAATAATATTACGCTTACGTATTTAATTTTATGCTTTTCTTATAAGCTGTTTTTTAGTTCATCTGAGTATAAAGAATTTTACGTAAATGTTCGAACATATTACGTAAATGTTTTACGTAATATGTTCGAATTAGATTTAGAAAAGGATAAAAAGCACAGCCAAACTCTTGAACTCGAAATGTTTTCTTAGTTTCTGGGTTTTCTGTAAAAAAAAAAAAAAAAAAGGAAATAATATATTGTGTTTCATTTTTAGTTGCAGGTACGTGATGTTAAGTAAATAGTTAATTAGTATTTGCAATGAAAATAATATTACTCTTTTTACATTACAGATTATTCTCCATGCCAATGCAGAATCACTGTACGAACATTTTGAGCCAAGTATGTTACCGAAGGAATATGGAGGCTCTATACCCGTTAGTGAAATGACAGGTTAGTTTATATCTTACTAATTTAAAATGTCTTTTATGCATTTCTCAAGCAAGTTGAAAACAATAAGATAATATTTCATAAGCTAAACCCTAAATGGAAATATATTTGACGACGATTTCTTATATGAATAATTTCAATAGCGTAATGAAAAAGAATTTTCATGTGAACTTAAAATGATAATTTTTGTTATCGAATCTTGTACTTGATAACAAAAAAATCCATAAAAAGTGTTTAGCAGAAAACAAGATCAGTTTCTGGCAAATGAAACTGCTTTAAATTTTAACTTTAATATAAAAGATAATGTTAATTTTATGTAAAACATAATTTTTTTTTTTTTTTTTTTTTTTGTTGCTACTGCTCACTTGTCTGACTTATAGTCAGCCTAAGCCCACGAAATTCCACGTGGCAAGGAAAGCAAGTTTACGCCTGCTGTTGGCAACAGCCTTGAGTGACAGTTCGATTTAGCTCAGTTCCGCGCCCAGTTTTGATGGAGAGCACCCAGGGGCTGACAGGTCCGAGGGTCTCCCACCCCCTCTTCTCCTAGCACCTGCCTCTCGAGAGGACTTTCGGCTCGTTACATATTTAGAGTGTCCCCAATACTAGATAACATGGATATATTATAAATTAAAGGTATTAAAAGTCATTCATATAATTTATAACGTCTTGGGTGCTTTAGTATCCTAAACTCAACTAGATGTTAGAAGGCTGTTTAGGGAATTATTCCTAAGTCTTACATTTGGGCTTGCCGCATACTTGGAGTGCCTCATACCGAAAGAAAACCATACATTTACAAACATCCATGCCTTCTCCGGGATTCTAACCCGTCGGCACGGTAGTCAGCGACGGTAACCACTATACCGGTTGGGCGGCAGATAATTTTTTTTAACTACCATTTGTTGACGATGATTACGAGAAATATCCCTGGCTCAGTTCTTTCCGAAAGTAGAGATTATATGCATGTAACTTTGTTATGAACTATTAACCCAGAAGGGAAAAGCAAGTATATTCCCACTTTTATATGGCTAATGTCAGAATAAATGTATGTAAATTAGGTGTAGCCCATTTTTCGAAAATTTTTCAGTTTCATGACTTAATTATTTTCTAATAAATTGGCTGTAATTAGTTCTCTTTTTCTCTTTTTTAAATCAAAAGAATTAAATTAAATTTTTAATTACTCACAGAGAGAGCGAAATTTCGAAAATATAAAACAGTATTCGTATCTGTTCTTAAGTACATATGGCAAAAAAATTATAAGAATATTTTATCTATTCAAAAATGCTATATGTTATTAATTAAACGGTTGCAATTTTTATTTTACTGATATTATCTGAAATTTTACTTTATTTTGTGTGCTTAATTCTTTTTTCTGGTAGTTGAGTACCTGTCGTATTTTATTTCCTGAGAATATTTAAAATTTTCTTCTATTGTGTCAGTTCTATTTTTTTGGAACTTTTTAAGCTTGTACAAAAATTTGAAACATAGCATAATTGCCGTGTTTTCTAAAAGAGCAGTCATATTCCAAATGGCACTTATGTTTATTCAGAGAAGCCAGTTTTCTGTCTTTAGGTTCATTTTTATCACAAATGAACATAAAGTCTGCAAGCTGACCGCTAATTTTACGTTTTGAGAAGAGACACAGAAGCATATGTTAGTGTCTTTTCACTATGCAATAAATAAAATTCGAGGTGAACAAATATAAGTCAAGGAATGCAAAATATTGTTACGTATTTTATATTTATTTAGTTATTTTTAGTAGAATGTGTAATTAAAATTGTTTTATATTCTCGTGCAATGCAGCACGAGACTTATTTGAAGAGAAAGCTACACTGGAAAATTAAAATACAGGAGCAAGCGCATTTAACATTTTAATAAATAGATATCTCGTAATTGTACTCTTTTGCTATCGAGAAAAATCGAGGAAATACCAGAATATTCTCGTGCGCGATTAAAAACCTTATAAAAGCCTAAGAAACACATCTCAATTCAGTTGTTTACTTAATTCTTGTTATTGATTATAGCGAATTCGCGGTGAGACCGGATTAGTTTTCTCTGTTTTGAATTGAGTTCTATTTATATTTTAGTAGTTCAAAATATAACTACTTTGAGGTATTACGATATTGTACTAATATGTCTCAGGAAATTTCAGCATTTTGTTTAATTTCTTGGAATAAAAATAAATTTTGTTAACTTTTTATCGACTTGTGCATTCAATTCATTACGAATCCGTACGCACGCAATAATATGTTTTCATAGAAATTTTCGAAATACTGGAAATGTGGGAAATGAAAACTTTAAGGGAAATTCCAGTTGTTGATTTCCTTTTTTTATTTCATCTTGAATAAGAGTTAATAACTTTTCTTAACTTACATAAAATTTATAATAATATGCCATTTAGAGACATTCTGTTGAAGATATGCTTTCTATTTCACGTGTTTAAATTTTTTTCAGTGAAAAACAATACAGTCTTCCCAAAATGTAAAAATTCTCCTAATTAAATTTTAAAATCAGTTTTCCTCAGTTCAATCCCATAATATTAACTTTGTGACTACTGTACATTAAAAGAAGTAATATACTACTATAAGTACAGGAACAGTCTTTAACTTCTGCATTCAGACAGTTTCGAATATCACCTGTAAATTTACATGTTCCCTAAGCATTTTAAACTGTTTACTTTATACATTGCAATTTTTTCTACATCTTAACTTGGCTGAAAATTCTGAGATCGAAAGCTTCTAATGAGGCAAGCGTATTGCCACTAAAAATTTAAATTCATTAATAACTTGTAAAAGAAAACATTTTGAAGCGATATTATTTCACGTCGTCAGTTTATTAATGAAATTTTTCCAGTCTTCGATTTCCAATATGTTACATGTTCAAAATGCTCAGAACGTGTATGGATAAGTACCACCTCCTAGACCAGATATGTTCTGAAAAGTCTATTAACCAGTTACAGTAATAAAATCGTGAATTGGAGAAACTGGTGAAATGGAGAAAGGTTTTATTTGGAGGGGTGCCCCATTTTTAACTGCCACTTCCGTTAAGTAGCTTGGCGATAGCTGGTACTTTTTGTACAGAGAGAGCTGTATAACTGTGCTTTGTTATAATATTAGTTCTTAGTTTCAAAAACTAAACTTCATAAATAGTCCATCCCCATTTAATCGATGCAAATATATAACGATACGAATAATATATAACGGTATAGTACATAAGGTACCGTTATATAGGTAAGATTTTTAATCTGCTGCTCTGATTAAAATGAATAATTTTATGCTTGGCGGAGGTCGCAAGCTCGCGGAATGCTGTTAAACAGTATGCACTGTAACAAATTGGTGTTGCTGTAATTGTCGGTTTTGCAACAGGTAATATGCTGCTCTTTTAAATAATAATTTTATGAGTTTTGTACATATATGAATAATTTCAGTGAAATTGTTGTATTTTTTCTGTACAGAATCTTAAGAGACGATGCTCTACGGGAAAAATAAGAATACAGGGGCAAGTCTATTTAACATTGAGTAAATGGTTATCTTGCGGCCAATCTAGCGATGGCTTTTTACGATTAATCTTAGTCGCCAAACTTGGTGGCCATTTGATAACATTTTGGTCCGGTCCCTTTATGACCGTAATAGGTATTGTAATTGAATAACTGTAATTGATTTCATATGTAGCTGTAACCGTATCCTTCCTCATATGCGTTCCAGTAATTTCAAGAAGTGCTAGAGATTTCTGGGCGGCGGAGTGAAAACTATATAAGACCGGAGACAGCAACTGCTCTCAATTAGTTCAGATGAACTACGGATATTCCGATATCCGTGAGAGCAGCTTCGCCTTTTAGATGCGCTTTCCATTGCGTTGTGTTGAACCTGCTCAGTAGTTTGAAGTGTAATTATTGATTGCACTCCGCGATACTGGGAAAAGCAGTACGAGTATTTTGGGGAAAAGTTCTAGAAATATGAAGTGCTTCTTTTGGTAAAGTAAGTTTCATCAAGCTATCCTCAGTTCTGCGTGCATTCAAACTATAATGAAACTGTCCCACGCAACAACAATATTTACAATTAATTATAGTTTAATTAACTTATTTTCGTGTTTTTTTTTCCTTTTTTTAAAATTTTTATTAGTTTTGTTATTTTATAGTTTATTATTATTTTTTATACCTCAGTTCTTATGCTACTTTTCTTATGATTTTTATTCAATATTATTTTATCCATACCTTGCATTCTAAATATATTATGCGTAATTTATTCCTTAATTCGTCGAATTTTTTATCCATGCCTGGTTTAGAAAAAACATATTTAAATGAGTATTTAATCAAAATATTTTAAAAACTATCCATTTACTTTCCCTAATTACACACATCTGATTTTATGTTTTAGCTTATGGTACATTTTTTATTTACGGATTTATGGATTCATAACGCTGTGTCTCTTAAAATTTGAGTATCTAACATTTTCTATTATTTCTAGCAAAATGGATTGAAGTCTTGGAGTCCAAGCGAGATCGAATTTTAGCTTTAGATGACATGAAAATCGATGAAAGTAAAAGACCTAAAGGAAAAATCTCTGGAAATTTAATACCTCGTTTGGTTAGTAGCATAAGCAGAATGGACATTAAATAACTGCATTGTTACATATTTATTCTTGCATTATTTGGAGCATTACAAGTGTCATCACGATTCGAACCCATTTACTTTACAGCATTTATGACGACACTTTGTATGTTACATCCTTTTTATACTTTGACTCATAATATCTGTAATATTTAAACAGTATATGTATAATCAGAATGATATTTGTGTAATTTTAAATAAAGTTCATAAAATGTTATTGCTCCTTATTTCTTGTTACATACAAACTGGTGCTGGATTATTCTCTCGAGGTAGTTTACTTCAAAAACATTCTTTCAAGAAAACAGAAAAAGACTGTTTATACACATACCTATCGAATATATTAAAAATGACGATCCATTTTCCATTTCATATTATCAAGCACTAAGAAAAAAAAATTACGGAAGAGAGGGAGGGCAAAAGCTTGTAACGTTGCGCGCTTCAAACTGCACGCAACAATAGTGGTGACTGCTAAGAACTGGAAGTAGACCAAAGTCTTGAGAAGGGTTTTAATCCCTTTTCATTCAACTTTAGAAATTACAAATGCGTGCTCTTGACGCTCACAAACTACTACTACGCCGACCCGCGCCCGGCGGTAAAATAAAAATAAGAAACTAAGAAAAGAATAGTAACAAGCGACTAACTACGAGGCTCTCTAACGTAAAACCTCACCGCGTTTCTAAATAACCTCACGCGTTCTAAAATACCGCTGATAATTCAGCAAACTCTGAATATTACGTTGAAAGATTAACAAACTGCCGAGGCAAGCACACAGGCCGAAACGCGTGGTTCTTCAATTTCTAACTAGCCACCTTCACGCTCGTGAAGCAAGAAAGCACACTTTCGAACTCGTTTCCCTTCTATTTAACTTAGATTACTTCCGCTGACAATTTGAATCCTTTCGCGTTCTACTAAAATTTACATACTCTGGCATTGGCAATTCCAGGGGAAAGTAAGGCTTGACAGGAAAGATATTTTAAACTTAAAATAAATGTTAGTTAAAATAAATATAAACCCTACATTTGCCGCTGCCAGAATTTGGTAAACTTGGAAACAGGTCCTAGAAACGACCTGTTGAAAAGTTTCCACAATTCTGAACTAAATTTTAAGAGCCTCGTTTACATAAAAAAAATCTTATCTTACAAAAGGTAGAATAAATTTCTGTAGATACTTATTTTAATTCTCTCTTCTTACAGCAACCTTTCCTGGACTTCAGAAATCAATCTGTTCTCTTCCTTCCAGCATCTGGAAGGAATAAGTATCAGTATCTTTCTAAATACATTATAATTTACACTTTCTTGACACTGAATAAGTTTTGGTTTTTCAAACGATTTTTTTCCTTAGTTTTACTGCTTAATTCACATTCATTCAAGTATTCAAACATGAATTTAACTTTACCCTGGCTCTCCATCATGTGTGGTGTCAAACGGGAATATTCGTGTTTTAGTATTGCAACACTTCCCCTAACCACAATGATTTGTTAGAATTCAACGACCAAATAGACACACCTTACTCGACATTTTACAACTCGATGAGCTACTTTAACATTCTTAAAATTCAAGTGCAGGTGGAGAACCCTGCAAAACACATTCATTCTAAATTCCCCCTCATTCATCTTTAGATATGCAGGCTTTCGCTCTAAAGCATTATTTTATCTACAGTTTAATACTTAAATTTTGAATTCATTGCTTTTGAGCATTTACTTTTAGCATCTAAAATTTTATGCTTCTACACTAAATTCTACTTTTACAAAACTTCAAGTATTTACGTATATTACAAAATCTAAACATAATGATTTCTACAATTTACCATAAAATGAATAAGAGAAAAATAAATTTTTACTTTACTCATTCTTCGCCAAGCTGGCGGCACTGAAAAAAACTAAGTTCTTATTAATACAAGAATACGAAGTTATTTTTATCTTCGGCCAAATTTTTGGCTTTAACAAAAAAACAAAAAAAATTAGTCTTTCGACCAACAGAAACTGCTTGTTCTTAGATTTTATACTTAAAGAAAATAATACTTTTGCCTTAGCTAAATAAAGTAAAAGAAAACTAAGTCTCAACCGAGACACATTGACTTCCGTCAAAACATAGAACTTCGTATTTACGCATAACATTTAGGAACAAAAGAAAGAAAAATTTATAGAAGATTTTAACTTATCTTTGAGTTTTCGATGATTGGAACTCCGACATCCTTTTCTGGCAGAACTGCTCCCACGTTATAGGTTTCATCGACGTCAGTCTTCTCCTTAGTGTCCTCCGAGTGTCGTCCACGTTACTTTTTTTCTTTTTCGTTTCGCCCTCTCTGCTGCTGGCCTCTTGAAGTGGTAGTCGTCGGTTGCTCTGTCTTTTCCGTTTTTTTTCCCCTGGACGGCTGGTCTTGTCTTGGCGCCCTCCGGTCTGGAGTCATGCTTGAATTTCTTCTGTTGTTGGTGGTGGTCTTTTCGTTCCTCCTGCTGTCTTTTCTTTCTCGGGAACGGCGGCCTTGGTTTGCCCCACCGGACTCTCTGGCCCTGGAAGCGTTCTCCTCGATGTAGAATTTCTACTGCGATACTACGTTGTAAGTGTGTTTTTCCTCCTCTTTACCAAGGTTTTTCTTACGCGGCGGCGGCTTTACTTTCTTGTATTTCTTAAATGCTGGAGTCTGAAAGTTTTCATTTCTTCTTTTCGGTAACACGCCATCCATGGGTTTGTAAAGGGTTAGGTTTTTCTCTTCAGTTCTCTGCTTCTCTCTCTTCCGGGGGGTGACGGGTGACGTTACTTCTGGACCTTCTACATCTTTTAATAAATACGCTTGAGTCCTGCAAGAAACTTTTAAGGATTTCAAAATCATTTTTGATTATAATATTTTTTCACTTGGTCGGGACTTGCTTTACAGATTTCCCCTCTTCTCCCCTCTCTCGTTCTTAAGGTACAACGACTCCCTTGATTTCCTGAATTACATAGGGGCCTTCAAATTTTGGAGCTAACTTGCAGTAAAATTGTCTGGGGCACTTGATAAAAAAATTTTTCCGCTTCAAAACTTTATCCCCAACTTTTAAAATCTGCTTCACAACGGTTTTTCTATCATAATATAATTTTTTGCCTATTCCTTGCCGTATCCGAGCTTTTAAACCGCCTGGTCAATAAGTGTTTGCACGTCTTTCTGTTTAAATTCTTGCTCCTCTTTGTTGCACAAAGAATAATTTTATCTAATGGGCGTAATTAACTTTCGTCCTAAAAATAATTCTGCTGGGGGTTTTTCCCGTATATCGTGATTTGCCGTTCTTAAAGTATAAGCTAACTCATTATGTAGCCATCCCTGCGCTTGTGATGTGTGCTAACATAACTTCGAATTATTTTTACAATGTTTTTATTAACTCTTTCTGCTATGTTTGCCTGTGGTCTATACGGAACCATTTTTATATGGCGTATGCCAAGTCCAGTGCATATGTTTCAAATATTTGACTAAGGAATTGTTTACCGTTATCGCTAATGACTTTTATCGACTTTTATCGGTGCTCCGTATTTTAAAACGTACCTGTGTAAGAATGCATCTGCAAATGTTAAATGTTTTGGCTTGACGCACGTGTAAGTGCAATAATTTCTGTCCACTTCGAAAAATGATCTACAATTACTAAAATAAAAAATGATTTTTATTTAACTCACTCTGGGGAAAAGGACCAAGGAGATCCTATGCCTAAAATTTCATTCAGAAATGTAGCTGTGAGTGCTATTTAAGTACCCGCCCGGGCTGTAATTAATATCATTTATTAATTGACATCGATTGCAGGACCTGACATAAGCAGTTACTATTTTGTGTAATTGTGGGAAATAAACCGCCTCGCGTACCCTTCTTATAAGTCTTTCTGACCCCTAAGCGACCCGATGTTGACCCGCTGCTTTCGCGTCGTGTAATTCCTTTCAAAATGCTTAATCGAAGCGAGGCTGGGATGACTGGTTTGTACTCGAGATTTTCGTTTGTTGTTTTCGTATAAAATAATAAATTATCTATTATTTCATAGTTTTCTGCTCTATTTCTTATTATCGCATCGATATCTGTGTCTCAAAGCTTTCGGGGGTCTTTCAAATATGCATAGATACTTCCAAATTCAGGATCAGCTTTCAATTCAGCAATAATTGTATCTCTAGAATCTAAAATTTTTGAAGTCAGCACAGCGCATTTAAATTCGTTACCTTCATCGTCCAGTTTTATACGAGAAAGTGCGTCAGCTACATTGTTTTCCTTACCCGGTTTATATTTGATTATAAGATTATATTCTTGGAGTTTTTTTAAAGCCCATCTTATTAACCTGGGCGTTAGGTTTTTCCCCGAGTAAAGTCCACCAACAGCCGCATGATGATCCGAAAAGACTGTTACTGGCGCTTTGCCGAAATAAAACTCGAAATTTGTGTACAGCCATTAATACGGCTAATGTTTTTCTCTCTCAGTAGCTGTATAATTCCTTTGTGTAGGATTCAACGTTTTACTAAAAATGCCAAAGGAGGGGGGCCATTTTTCATAATAACCGCACCCACAGCAGTCCGACGACGCATCTGCTGCAATTTCCCAGGTTTTTCGTCCCCCCCCCTCCGGGAATTTCAAAACAGGGGCATTGATGAGCGCCTTTCTTTAATCTTTCAAATGCGGTATTTGCTTCCGCTGTCCACATGATTTTACTTTTCTTTTTTCTTTTAATTACTAACAAGGGTTCAACAATATTAGCAAAATCTTTTATGAATGACCGATAACAAGAACATAACCAAGGAAAGAAGAAAGTTTCTTGGCGGTGTTGGGCGGTGGGAAATTCTTGATTGCTTTTATTTTTGAAACTTGGGTTTCTATACCCTTTTGCGAAATTTTATAACCCAGATATTTAAGTTCTTTAGTTGCGAACTTGCATTTTGAGGCGTTAATTGTAAGACCGACCTCTTTTAATAATTTAGAAACTTTTTCTAGATCTTTAATATGTTGTGCCAACGTTACTACTCGTTATAATTATATATATATCATCTAGATAGAAGTCGATTTTCCTAGGACAGGCTTTAGAACAATGTCCATAGCTCTCTGGAATGTTGATGGGGATGGGGCCCCAGACACCCAAAGGACATGCGTAAAAATGCATAAGTGCCCGATTTTGTTATAAATGCGGTTTTATGTATGTCTTCGGGTCTCATAGCTATTGATAGTAGCCAGACGTTAAAGTCCAAAGTAGTCATGTATATCTAGTAGATTTAA